AAGAGGATGGAGGGTTGTGTTAAAGTAAAAGCCCATCATCTCACATTTCCTGTTAACAAGTTGATTCATCGTGTGCTGTATTTTGGGAACATTTGGAATAAAAACAAAAAAATACAACCACGTAAACAATGACTTCTGATGCGGCATGCCCAGTTGCCTAGCAACAGGTATTGTTTACACAGATTGTAATGTGGTAAATTATGTAAAAATAATGCCAAGCACTACAAGATGTACTTTAATTTTATTAAAATAAAAACAAAAGTTATTTTTGATGCACTTTTAAGTAAAATAACGAGGGGCTGATGCTGAGTCCTGCCTCTGCTCTCTTCCTCTACAGGCCTACTCCATGCCCATATACCCACCATACCTGTACCTCGTCCCCCTGCAGCAGGCCCATGCCATGCAGCCCAAGCCATCTTCCCGTTCCCCGTCCCCACAGTGCCTTCCCTCTAACACCCCCAGCAACACCCCCACCAACCCGCAGGAGGGCTATCCGCCTCACCAGTACCCTCCCACTGTAGCACCGGTGCCCTCTCAATATGACAACCAGGCTGCGCTCGATGAGCCCCCCGGTCCGGCTGAACCCTCCTTCAACCAGGCCAGGTACCCCATCACCCAGCCACAACCCCCCAGGATGCCATGGCAACAGATGCCTGCACGAAACCCAAGCTACTCAGTTGGGTATCTTTCCCCACCTCCACCGTACTCGGGTCCCCTGCCTTCATCTCAGGGTTACCACCCAAATCAGGGCGCGGGGGTCCCGGTGTACCCCACAGCCATGGGTCCGTACAGCCCCTCCTCTCTGGCATACCAAACTGCATCCACCCACCAGGAGCTCCAGGTGAGCCAGGGGGCGATGCAGCAGCACCAGCTTCAGGCAATCAACGGGGACACAATGCCTGGCCACGGGAACATCCACATCTCCAGTCCTCTGGAGAGCGCCGCTGCGTCTAACATTCCCACTACCAACAGTAACCGATCAGTGATGGTCCCATCCAATTATAGTAAGCAGGAATTCTGGGAGATGAAGTCCTTACATTTCAAGGTGTTATGGCTTTCTTTTAACTGTCAGGTGGAAACATTTTTAATTCATTTTGTTTTCATGATAGGCTTCAAGAGAGATCCGGGGGAGAGTTTGCCACGAGCAGTGCTCCTGGTGGATCCGCCACTTAACGACATGCCCATAGTACGTATATTTCTGTGCAACTTGATAACCTAATCAAATTAACTTCGGGTTTTGATTTTGAAACTAATATCTAATAAGTAGTTAGAAGTGGCTTTTATCTTTAAAAGATCACTGAAAGGCATCCTTCAATTTCCTGTAAGCAGGTGTTGGCTTTCATTATGGAAATCTGACAGTTTCCATAATGTGAAAAGTGTCACATTTCTGAACTCCCTGGTAGCTTTTCATAACAAAGTGATTTGTTTTAAAAATTATTACAACGTCAAATAATCTTGATGAGATCTTAAGAAATTGAGATCTCATCACCCCCCCCACACTAAAACCCATCCTTTAACATCCTGTTAACTAACTGGCTCTTAGTGTGTAAATCTGAGTGTTTAAAGAAACCAGTTAAATTTCTCTACCCTGTGGCTCTTATTTAGAAAGTCTGACATTCCAGAGCGTCCTGGTAGCTTTTTATTACTAGGTGTTTTATTTTGAAAGTCATGCTGCATCATATCCTCTTGTAACAGGACCTCCTTCTGTCTCGCTCTCAGGTTGCTCTGCTTTCTGATCCGCACTTTAAGGACATCTCCATGGGAGCTATGAAAGGCAGCAGCAGCAGCCCCGGCTCTCCGTCGCAATACCGTCCCCGGAAACCAGTCCATGCCACCAACGTGTATGAACAGAGCCAGAGGGGCAGCTACATGAAGCCTGTCACCATGACGGACAATCATTCTGTGGGCTGCAGCACGGAGGATGACTGGGAGGAGGTGGAGGGGTTTAAAACGATGGTGCCAAACTACAGAGGGCAGAGGAGGCCCTACAGAGGAAGAGGAGGGAGAGGAGGCAGAGGAAGGGGTGGCTACGATCCAACCAGGGACGTGTACAGGAGTAGACAGGAAAGAGATATGGGGGTAGGGTTTAACTATATTCAGCCTAACCCTGCCCACATGGGATGGGCTCGCGAGAAACGGTATTAGCTCTGAGCCAATGAGAGAAGAGGACACAGGTGGTGATTTTTTTTTCTTTCTTTTGCTTTTTTCTGGAGATCTGATTGGTGTAGACCGGCAGCCATGGAAATGCAGTGTGGACCCGAGTCGGAAAATCTAAAACTCCATTTGTGTTTTGCTGCCTCTAAATCAACAAGCTTATTGCTTTGTATCAAAACATAAACACTATCCTCCTCTTTTCTTTTAAGTGCATTAGCATAGCATGTTAGCACTATTTCTTATCACTCAGACGAATGGATTCAATGAATGTCGAGCTCAAAGTTTGTTTACGAGGATTGTGAATGATTTAAAAAAGTTACCCACTGTGTTGACATGATGAATGTATGGGTTTCTTTACTGGTTGTGTTTGAGATTTTGGGAAATATGTTTATTAGCTTTCTTGCCTGAGGGGAAACGCTTTCATGTCTGTGGCAGTTTAGCTTAGCTTAGCATAAAGCAACGGAAAATCAGCGAAGACTTTTTTTTTAATGTAGCAAAATGCTACTCAATCTAATGACACTGGCATAGAACAATACTCATTTCATAAAGATATATAGTAAAAAAGGCATAAATTACCATTGCTATATAAATACATTTTAGTAACTCTCTTAAAACCATACTCTCCCCTCTATTTCTATTATCACAGTTTAATGCTAGCAGCGGGAAATCAGTTATGACTGTAAAGTATAATTTTCTATGATCTATAAAAAAAAAAAAACTTACTCTTTCACTTGTACATATAGTTATTTAGCACAGCTTAGCAAAGCTTGTTAGCTAGCTTAGCAAAAAAAACCTTGAGGTATAAAGTAGCATTTTCCTATTTCCTATATAAATCAATCTTTTAGTAACTCTCTTAAAACCATATGTTTTGTTTTTTTTTTAAAAACCTTTCCACTCCTATTTTTACATCATGCTAGTTAGTTGAGCACAAAGCAGTGGGAAAAGCCATGACTGTCGGGAGAAAGTTAGCATTTTTGTATATAGATAACATCTAATAAGTTAAACCAAATTTTTTCCCACTTTAGTTTTTACACACAGCTAGCTAGCTTAGCACAGGTGAGCCCGCCAATCCCCAGATTCAGTTTTTGCATACAGTAACAAGCTTTAAATGGGCGTGCTCGGCTAGCTGTTTGTGCCCATGTCTCTATGCTAAGGTAAGCACAGACACAAAGCGCTCTGTCTGCTCCTCTCTCTAAAATTATTTACAGAAGTCTTCCTCTGATGAGTCAAAGATAAATTTGTCGTGTTTGTTTTTTATGTTGTTAATACTGGGAGCTCAGTGGATCAGTGCGGGGGGAGCAAAAAGCCAAGGGGAGCGGGCTGGAAAGGAGTGTAAGAACTGCTGCTGCTGTTAGCGCCCATCAGGCTGTTGGTCACTGTGAGTTGTGCTTGGACATTTTTCTTTCAGGTCCATCTGCTGGTTTCTGGTCGTCTAACCTCAGATCCAGTGCCTTATGTTTGCTGAGTTTACTTCTCTGTGCTCGGAGAAACACTGCTGTATAGAACAAAAACGTGCTGTTTGGATTTGATTTTCTATGTGGTTAAATAAATAAACCTTTGGCTCAGATGCTGCCTCTGGAGCTGTTGGTTGATTTTTGGGTGAATAAAATTTCAGAATCTTTTAGCACATTATTAGCATATCGTAGTAACTATTGCAATGCACAACAAACTTCAGTGAAGTGCTGTGAAGAACTGATTCAGGTCATCAAACTGTATTATTAGACAAAGATAACATGAGTACAATGTGCAGTTTTTAAATGATGCAATGAAATCTCTGATTAACTACCTTGTTTTGAAAAGCTTAGCTCAATGTCACTTTTGGGCAGGCTCAACTTGAGAACAAGGGAACGTAGGAGTTTCATACTAAAAATCTCAGTGACCATAACCTCAATGCCAAGTTTTCTGAAATTCTTGTGACAGTGATAAGTCAAGGAGGAAGTCACCGCAAACGTTACCATTTCCTTTTCTCTGTCTGCCACAAGGCTAACTCAGAGGCCTGCTTTGAATCCACCCTGAGGCCACTGACTGCATGCCGTCACATTAAACGCTGAAATAACCCCACACATTGTTTAATCTCTACTCTGGAGACCTCAACATGCCAATAACAGGTCACAGTTACAGCGCCACCCAGTGGAAGCAGGATGATATGTATCATAACATCATCCGGTTAACATGAAACAAACATGACGGTCTCTGCACACCATGTGCAGTAACAGGCATACACTAGTTGTTTATTTATAGCTGCCCTTTCTCCGTGACTAAAACGTGATGTGTTTAGGGAACGTCCGTAAATTGCAACTATCAAAAAAACAGTCCAGCTTATTGGTGAGGCCCTCCACAACAGTCCCAGCTTCTCATGTGGCCCCTTTGTAGAATTGATTGATCACCTCTGATCTAAAGGGTGTAGAGTTCATGAAAATGCTTTTAAACCATATTTCAGCTCCTAGGTGTCTGCACAGTTAGCACTGCTGCCTCACACCAACAAGGCTCAAATCCTGGGGTGTGTCTGGGTACTCTGGTTTACTTCCAGTCTAAAGACTTGCAGTGACTGGTTTGGTAAACTAGTGAATCTAAATGTGGGTGTCTAGCACAGTCTGAATCTCTGTTCCTCTCCTCACCCCCAAATGGTCACAGCAGATGGCTGTCCCTCCCCAAGCCTGCTGGTCTCTTCCTGTTAAAAGGGAGTTTTTCCTTCCCATTGTCACAAAGCGTTTGTGGTGATATGATTGTGGGGGTTTCCTCTGTGTTGTTGTAGCGTCTTTATCTTTTTTGTGAATAAAACTTGAATTGAGTTGTGTTAGCCTCGAGTCTGTAAGGTGTTTACAAACAAAGACACACACGGAGCATTCCTGGTTCAGGAAGCATCAGTTTATTCTGATTGTAAATGTACAGGTGTTAAAATATTCTCGCTGCCTCTGAATTCAGCCGAGCGTGTTCAGCCTGACGCACACACACACACACAACGCAATGCACTTTATTTTTAAACACTTCACAACATTGCTGGCTATTGAATGCAGTCCGGTACATATAGGCTGATGTTTCTTTGTTTTTCTTAAATGTTTTTTATTTAAAGTTTTAATATGTCTGCTGTTTGGCAGGCCGGCCATGAAATGTTGAGGTTATAACGCTTGAGCGTGCGCCGGCTCCAAGATGCGGCTGGGTAGTCGCCATTGGTCAGGTGGGTCTTAATCGTCCAGGAAGAAATAGTTCCCACTCTTCTTCTGTTCCGTGTCCTGCAGAGAGATGAGGCAGAGGTCAAAGGTCGGACTGATTCCTCCTCACTGACATCACCGCATATATAATGCTGGGAGGGCTACACTTTCTAATTATTATCTCTAAATAACCCCACAGCTGAGTGGACGACTGCAGCTCAGCACAGTAAAAGCTCTTAAGTGATCACATGTTACGGTAGAAGAGCCTTCAGTGAAACCGGAGGAGCACTGTGATGCTTCCTCGGGTTTGAACAGATTAAGAGAAAATACTAAATGCCTCTGAGCGGGTCAAGAGATTAGAACCGTCTGCTCAAATCCAAGGCTTTGGGCAAAAACAGTGAATCGTAAAAAACGTTTGCTTGAAGGGGCGGAGCTAAAAGTCCTCAGTCTCTGCAAACTCGCACGCCGCCTTGAAGCCGGCAACCGATTGCCTGAGAACATTCCAGGGTCCAGTTGCCTAGGTAACTCTCTAACACTTTTACTACCAGGTTGTATGTCGGTCAGCGGTGTTCTTCGCTCTCATTGGTTCGCCTGTAAGTTGAGTCAAGTCTATTTTGGTTCCCACCCTCCTCGTTTCACCAGCTGCTATTTCGTCGAAAGTCACTGACTTTATGATCTCTGGTCGCCCTGTCGCTTCCAGCGTGTACGCAGCTTCATCTTTATCACATATTATGTCATCTTGTTGCCTAGCAACCACCTTCCAGTGGGCTAAAATGACCCATTTGGAGTATTTATGCACGGCAACACTTTATAACAGCATCGCATCGGTTTAATTTCAACAAAACTTGTTGATACAAAACTTGTTATGCATGACATATGATGTCATCATGTTGCCTGGCAACAATGGACTAAAACACAGCAAATCACACTGCAGCATGAGCATGTGCGACCAAGATAAATTAGGATTATTTTGACCTGTAAAGCTAATGGTCTCCAAGAAATAAAAACATGGAGCTGGAAATGAGCCTGAACCTAAATATATTCATTAAAACTATATTTATAATATATAATAATGCTTTCCCTCTCTATAGTGTACTGGTTTAGATTTGTGTTTCTTTGATTTATTTTTTAACAAATGGGTTTTATTTGTTAGATCAGCTTTAAAGAAACGTCCTTTGGGTTGAATCAGGAATGTTGTAAATCAAAATAAATCGAGTTTATGGATCTACCCGCTGCATCTTTGTCATGTAAGACTCTCAGATCTGAAGAAAGCTGATTTCCGCCTGGCTGAAGCACGGCACCAATCACAGCTGGACTCTGCTGTGTGGAGCTCTGTGCATCCCTGACACCTGTGAGGCAGGGCACAGGTCACGATGAAATCACTACAGCTCCGTATCATTTATACCGGTGTTGACGGGCAAGGACTCGTCATGTGTCACCACGGACATAAAACCTCCACATCACCCCGGAGGAGGAGGAGAAGCCTCACACTGGTGCCCCTCAGTACGATCATTGAGCGTCTGCACTGACGTCACTAAAGCGCCGATAAAAACAACTACAATCATAAACTGGCTGCAGCGGCACCTGTGACAGGTTACCAAAATCAGGAAATGCACGACTGGCTGAAACGACACCCAGAAGTTACTTTTTAATATTATTAGTTCAGTGCTGCGTTTTCGTGTCAAGAGTCCGTCCGTGTGTGACGGTCAGTGTGTTTAAATAAAGATTCAAATAAACATGGTCGTCGTGGCGTTACCTTGATGGAGTTGAGTTTGTTGATCCTCGGCCTGAAATTGTTCGGATCTCTCCTGAATGTGATCTCCAGCAGCGACAGGAAGCGATTCATCCCAGCCAGCAGACTCTGAGGCCTGAAAAAACAAACATCACGTTACCGTGGCGGCGGCCGGCGAGCTGACGAAGCAGCTCAGACTCGGCGGTTCATCTTACGTGTTGGCTGAAGTCTTCTTGGAGGGAATCCCGTCAAACACGATGACTCTGTCGGCCAGGTAGGTCGCCATGATGAAGTCGTGCTCCACCACGAATGCTGTCTTTTTGGCGTGGAGGATGTACCTGCGAATAAAAGACGTGTCACAACAGCGCCACACACGGGCGGAGACACGCGACAACAACAAGGCCTTCTAATTACACTTCTTACCATCTTCCACCGCTGCAAAGATTAACCATGCAAATAACAAAGAACAAAAATACTGTTGAGCTGTAAATCATGCAAAGCTACTCACAGAGTCCAAGAATGAAGCTGAAACGAGGAGATTACCTGAAATATGATTATTAAGACGCGCTCTCGTCTGACTTTGTATCAAAGTAAAACTGAAAAGAAATCCTGAGTTTTAAGCCGCTCGCTGACGATTCGTTGACGCTTGTGTTTGAGGATAAACAGGAAGGGAGCTGCTTGAGGTGCAGGGAGACGAGCGCATACCTCTTGATGACTCTGGCGGCCATCAATCGCTGCTCGGAGTCCAGGTAGGCAGAGGGCTCGTCGATGAGGTACACGTCGGCCGGTTTTCCCAAACAGAGTGTGAGGGCGACTCTCTGCAGCTCACCTCCAGACAGGTTCTGCACCTGTGGGCGGAGCAGAGGCAGCTTCATCACCCCGTCTTCATCGTATGTCATTAGAAAACGCTTTCTACCCTCCAGTCGGCTCAAAAAGTCTCCTTACATTTTATTTTAATTATGTTTACATTGAGTCTGATGACACACAAGTAACAAAATAAAATGGAAAAAGATGGATCGGCGCCTTCTCCAGGACAAAGATCAGGTTAGTGTGTTTGTGTGTACCTCTTTAACCCCTGGAGAGTCTTAAGGACATTTATTGTCTTTTGAATTTTTAGTTTTAAACCATTTTCACTGTGTTGAGTGGATTAAAGCCAAATTTGTCAAAGAATTTTTTTTTTACTTTTTTTGTTTAAACATGTTTGCAGGGATCAAAAATTACAATGTTATTCTACTTGTGGTCACTTATGAGGACAAAGGGCCTGTCCTCACGAGTTCGAGGGCATTTTTGAGACTCCAAATGTGGTTTTAGTGTCAGGCTGATGGTTAGGGTAAGCGGCTAGGCTAGCATTAGGTTAATTAGAGGTCCTCTAATTGTTTGCGTCTCTCTTACATCCTGGTCGATGATGCTCTCGATCTGCATCGGCTTCATGACGTCGGTGATGAACTGCGGGTGCGTGTAGGCGTCTCTGATCTTCTCGTGCAGCAGAGCTCGGACGCTGCCCTGAAAACGTAAAACACACTCGACTCCATCAGAGTCCGGACCTTGGTCGCTGCAGACGTTTAATCTGATGTATCAAATTTTAGTTTGTTTTTCATGATATGAACAATGGTCAAAGTCTGCTTCAACTTTATTTTAACTTTTTGGACTCTGAACCCTGGATTTCTGTAAATTCAGTTTGCTGGCTAAAATCAATCAGCAGGCTGAAAGCTGTGAAACGGACGGATGGATGATCCTGTCATGGGTCCGCGGTTAGAAAACGAGAGCTGACCTTGAACTTGGGGCTGATGGTCTGAGGCTTGTAGCTGACGTTCAGGATGGGAATCTCGCCTGAAAGACAGAGCTCAGGGTCAGTGGGTGCGTCCGGTTTAATCTGGCTTCATCTGAGAGAGAGACTCACCTCCTCCGTCAGGTCTGAGCCCACCGGCCAACATCCTGATGAAGGTCGTCTTCCCTGTGCCTGGAAACACACATACACACTTTCAGACGTGCACGTGTCAGCTTTTTCATTTTTGTGAGAAACAGTCAGAGGAAACAAGATGATCCATATTTTTATTATATTTCATATTTTCATTCTTTTCCTTTAGTGCCATTTTAAATTAGCTCGTCTGAGCTACGAGATTTTTCATTATTTGCAACTTTTCTTCTCTGAAATTAAATAACTGACTAAGAAAAATTACAGGTTCACACCCTTTAAATTAGATTTTTCAAAATTGGCTTGGAAATGATAAAATGTGTGATGGCCTCCAAAGCTGGTTCTGAATGAAACATCTGAAAAGTTCAATTTAAAAACCATTTTTAAACCTTGACCACAGAGATTTAGACTAAAACCCTCACCGTTCTCTCCCAGCATCACCATGATCTCAGAGTCTGTAAACTCTCCTCCTTTGATGTCCAGCGTGAACTCGCCCATCGTCTTCGACATGTCCGGATACTGAACGACAACAAACAATCAAACATTCAACAAAGAAGCAACTCGGCTCATTTTCTTATGCTGCTTTTTTTGCAAATTGTGCAAAATAATATTTATTTTCATTTTCTTGCACTTCATAAAAATTTGTGTATCTCAATAATGAACGGAGTTGGTCCTGTGGTGAGCTTTAAAGGGTTAATGACGACATTTCTAAACCCACAAGACCAAAAAAGCTCAAGAAAGAAAAGGAATCGGCAGATAGAACTACAGCCCCGTGTGACGAAGCTTTTATTTTGAAAAGAAAAACATGACAGGAAATGAAAGTGGTAGGGGAGGAAAAAAAGAAAACAACTAGCCAAAGCAAATGAGCAGTGATTCAGAGATTAAGCACATAAACTGACCTGGTAATGCCTGAGTCTCTTCACCTCCTCCTCATTGGCCGTCTCAGCCACCTTAAAGACCAGCGACGTCTCGCGAAACCTGAGATTCTCCGTGGGGACGTAACCGTCCAGGAAGATGTTGATACCTGGAGGAAGGATGCAGGAAGATCAGGACATGCTTTGGGTCCACTTAGCGACGGTGATATTAAGGACAAATACCACCACTTGTTTCTTCACACTTTTACAGAGGTGTGGTGCAATAACGTTTTTACCCTCTCTGACGCTGAAGGGCATGGTAACGACTCCATAGGCGCTCGGCACTCCGTACAGACAGCAGATGAAGTCCGACAGGTAGTCCAGCACGCTCAGATCGTGCTCCACCACGATGATGTACCTGCAACGCAACATCACGTTTAAGAGCGGCGGTGCACCTCCAGGGATCAAACCGAAGCTTTGAAGTGACAAACCTGTCGGGCGTGATGAGTGAGCGGATGGTGATGGCGGCCTTCAGCCTCTGTTTAACATCCAGGTAACTGGACGGCTCGTCAAACATGAAACTGCAGCAGAAGAGCAGAAACAAGAGGACGGCGGTCAGTCTGCGAGCTCGGCTCTCAGCTCACAGACAAAACAATACAACGTTTGTTAAATATTAAATAAATAAGCTTTCGGGCTGTTTCCTCACATGTCAGCTCTCTGGATGCAGACGACAGCACAGGCGAACCTCTGCAGCTCTCCTCCGGACAGATCCTCCACGTTTCTCTCCCGCAGGTGACTCAGATCTGCAGACAAACACAGAGATGCAATTAGAAATGTTGTTTATACGCAGCATTAAAAAAAAAATCCAAAACAGGGGGAAGATCCCTGGGATTAAACGCTTATTTTAAGAATAGGAATAGTTTCTGCACACAAACTGGTTTATCAGCTCCACACGGAGACACACGCTTTCTTTAAATATGACCCATGAAATTACTCTGTTCCAATGAACTGTGATGTGTCACATGGTCCTCACAAGAGTAAACAGTGTGTATCAACCTAAAAATACTAACACACGACTGTGTTTGTTCATAACGGCACTAAACTGTTTACAGTCGGCATGTAAACGCTTCCACATGAAGGTTCTTCAGCTTGTAATTAAGAGAGAGAGAGTGTGTGTGTGTGTGTGTGTGTGTGTGTGTGTGTGTGTGTGTGTGTGTGTGTGTGTGTACGTACCAAGTTGTTCACAGACAAGGTCCTGCGTGTCTGTGTCATCTTTCCTGCTCAGGATGGCCCCTACTGACCCCTGTAGGTGGAGACGAAGAATTACAACCGGCCATCAGAGTGAACGCCCATGCCAACAGGAACGATATATTCAAGGAAAAGTCGGGAACCTTGACGGTCTTTGGGATCTGGTCGACGTACTGCGGCTTCACGATGGCCCGCAGATCGTCCTCCAGGATTTTGGTGAAGTAGTTCTGCAGCTCGGACCCTCTGAAGTAGGTCAGGATCTCCTGCCAGTCTGGAGGATTCTGGGATTTCAAAGTACGGATCATTAAAACACAAAGCTTCTGACAACGAGGTCAATGTGTGGAAATGATCCCCGAGGGTGAAAATCTCCGGGGTCTGTATCAGATCCAGGATGATGAACTGAGTGTCTGCACTGAGGCCTAGTATAAGAAAAAGAAGCATTACTTTGAATGTGAATCATGCAAAGCTGGGCTGACAGAGTCCATGTAACCATAACTTGGTGTGTTGTCCTGCACAAGTTAATCTGTTCATAGCTTTTCAAGCAAAAAGGTTTACTGTGTAAATGTCCCTGAATTCTGTTCCTTGCAACACATCTGTCTTATGGAACAGATGTGCAAATTGTTCTACTTTACTAACAGGAAATATGGGATTTGTAAGGATACTTAAAGAAAATTAATAACAAAAGTACAAAAAATTGAAGAACAACATGAGTAAATGAGTCAAACTGAATTACAAGGGAGGAGTTTTGTTTTTAAATGGAACTTTAGAACCTAATCAAGAATTTCCTTTTGGCTTTGGCTAAAGATTTCAACCATCGTTAGCAGTGAGAAGAGCATTTGATAAAGTTACCCGACCGGTCGGTGGAGCCACACCTTAATCTTTTCCTGTTGCTAAACTGATGGCCAGCAAACCAAACATTATCTTCTCAGGCCAGCAGCAACATGACTGTGTGTGT